ATTCTTTCAGTTTTGCAAGCAGCTGACATTAAACGTTAAAAGTTCAATATCCAAGGGCCTGTCCTAGCGATTTGGAATCCTAGGATTGAGATATTAGTAACTAAGTTCATCCTTGGGAAATCTGTGGAGCATTTCTCTTTCAGGCTGAAGAACGGATTTAGAGCTGTGTCAGAAACTGTGCTTGAAGTGTGCAGCTTAGGAGTCTATGACAGCTTGTTGCTGTGTGGAAAGCAGAGACATCCTCTCTCTAAGGGCAGCGGAGTCCCACTCCTGAGCAGAGCACAAAGGACTATTCCGAGAGTAATCCGGGGCCACTGTGATAAATAATCAACCATTCTGGCCTGAGACTTGACTCCACTGCTGAGATGTTTTTAGTGAGATAAGCACTTATTTCTCTTGGTTCGTATCCAACTCATCAGAACAGCACAACTGCAAAGAAGTAATAAAAGGCCGTTAAGGTCAGTCTTTTATCCTTGCCTCAGCCTACACTAGTTCTGACGTAAAGAAAACAACAAGCCTATTAAATGACAGCAGTATTCCCTTGGGTTGAAAATAGTCATTTCAGAGGCACTATAAATTTCACATACATTAAGAGCTGCAAAATCAGTTTAGCACCGCCAGTTATTGGCTGGGAGCAAGAGCACTGTTTTAAGTGTCAACATTTGGTTCTCATTTGGTTAAGAGTCCTGTGCCGTGATTATTCCTGATGAATGAGATTTCAGATGGCGAGAAACAGGCTGCGGGCTGATTAAATGTGTTTTTCCTTCTTCAGCCTGATGGCCGTTTCTTCAGCAAAATTAGCGGCGTGATGGAATGTGACATGCACACGCTGTTTGGTCCCCAGATTACTTCTGGCAAGCGTGCTGATAAACAATGTTGAAATTTTCTGTTACAAATATGAAATCTGCTGCAAAGCTTATTTTAAAAAATAGGCGAGACGGCTTTGTGCCTTTCGTTTCACAAATTCAGGGTAAAGACATGCCACTCGAAATGCACCAATTTCAGTTCATTATAGCCGATTGCTGCTTTGCAATTCTTAAGCTCTGCTCAGATACACACCTCCCCACCCCCAAATAAACCAAAAATATAAAGCTATCACAATAAATCCCTGATTAATTTGCTAAGGTTTAACAGTCTACCTAGAAGTCAATATTTTCTTGAAGTTAACTTTTTGGTTTATATTGAAAAACAGGACAAATTCCAATACAAAATGATTTCAAAATGTCTCCCAGAGTCCACCATAGAGAGGCATCAGATGAATGGATAAACCCGGAAACAATGAAAAGTTTTACAGGAAAAAGTTTAGTTTACTAACGTTATTAGGTTGTATGAGTTGAAGTCTGCAGCGTTGATCTCAGAACGGACTTCAGCACACCTCCCAACTCCTTCCTTGGGAAAGGAATTCCCAGAACTCCCCTGACCCCAGTATATGGCTTGTTTGTGTGGCTCACTGTGGCACTACCCAGAATTCCTCTGGCCCCAGTATATGGCTTGTTTGTGTGGCTCACTGTGGCACTAAACAGAACTCCTCTGACCCCAGTATATGGCTTGTTTGTGTGGCTCACTGTGGTGAGCTGGAGCTCAGCCCTGCTCTGCCTAGTGTGCACAAGGGAGAACATTAGAGACAGCAGGATTCAATTTCATGTTGTTCACAAAACAAAGCTCAGACTGGGGCTCCCAGAAAGGGTGCTACATGGCAGTCTAAGGCACTTAAATGATGCCTTTCGTATCCCTTTGCAATAAAAAAAAACTTGAATATGAGCAGAAGGATACAGCGACTCTTTATCATGCTCCTTTTTAAAAAATTGATCAAAGCAATAGCTTTGAGCCCGTCGGTTTCTCAGGCGATCTCGAAGGCTGTTTGGATCCTGTAGGACGAGCTGTGGCTCAGAAGGCCATAGCCTCTGCTGGCGACTGCCTGCAGATTGTGTTCAGCGCTCCGTACAGTGAGCTGTCAGTTAACACTTGAGTCCCACTCGAGTCACTCGATTGCAATGAAATTAATAGGCGACTGTGCAGGTCTGGCAGCTTCCCCAGGAAAGGGGGCTGTCGCTCCCGAGTTTTCATTTGGTCCCTAGTGTTGCTGCAATAAGCAATGCCTGGGTAACATCTGGATCTGGGAGCTCTGACTTAAAAGACAAGGGGAACATCTGGAAACCGAGGGGCCCCCTCTAAAAATATTTTCCAAAACCTTTTCTCGCATACCACACAAGCATGAAGGTGTTTCGTTCGGGGTGAAGTTTAAAGTAACTCTCTGCTTCAAGCAGGGATTAAAAAAAAAACTGAGCACAAAACCTCTTCTGTGCAGCTATTATTATGTCAAAAGCAGGAAAACCTACAACCTTAAGAGATAAAGGAATATACAGTAAAAATACTTTAGAAAAAGCACTGGTGTCTTTTCAATATTACCGGTGGGAAAGGGTTTAGAAAATGACTACAGGTCTAAACATTGCTGCCAACTCATGTACAGTATGTTCTATTACATCTAAAGAACAATTATGTGGTTTGACGCTTGTAGTAAAAAAGTCCACATTACATAAAAGTAGTTATTTTTCTTCATTATATACCTACTCTTTATCTAGAGCAAATATTATTTGACTTTGTTTTTTACTTTCGATTACTTGTTCGGAGTCCCAGTGGGGCTCCATGGCCCAGCTGAGAGCGAGTCATTCATCAAGAGCTTTCTGAAGCCCCTCGACACAAGTCGCTGGCCGGGGAACGCCATTAATCCTCAGGCTCGGCACTGCGGAGCACTTCTGGAGCGATCAGGACACTGGAGGACACACTTCTGGCCACCTGGGGAGTAGCTGTCATCACAAGGTTTTGCTGATTCAATGGGTGTCGGGTCTTCATCTCAGAAACTGGACCCTTAGCGAAGTTTGTTCTGTTAAGCGCACGGCAAGATTTCTAAGGTTTTCCCACGGGTATACCATGTGCTTATGTCATGCATTTACTGGACTCTGCACGGATTTCCTGTGTTTTTTTTATCCTTCTCTACTCAGTTTGAATTTTTTACTATGTATGACTTAATTGCATTTACAGTATATAACATGTTTTATCCTAAAGGTTTACAGACAGATACAAAGCCACTTCATCCACAACGGAAGCACAGCCCCACCTGGGTGACATGTTCAGCCTTACACTGTGTAAAGCTCTGCTATTAATCAATCGGTACGGAGGCAGAGGAAAGGCTTTTCTTCTAATTTAAAGTGGACACTGCAGTTTTAAAAGTTGCGAGTTTCAAAATGTTGCTGCCTCTGCAATCAAAAAACAAACCTTTTTCCTTTACAAGCAGTGCACATAGAAAGACTCACCTCTCAGAAAAACGCTGTTCAAGAATAAACATTCTGCTTCTCATTTTTGGAAGAGACTGTTGAGTCCTGTGAAAATACTGCTTCTTCCTCCTGGACAGAGAACTGCTTGAAGGAGCAGGTGAGGTTTCTCTCGACCAGTCTAGCACAGAGCAAACAAGCAGCCAGACCACAAACCAGTAACTTTTTAATCTGTTGTGGTCAAGTCTGACTCTGTATTTTTCTCTGTATTGTGGCTCAGGTCTGGTTTGAGGGGAAAAAAAGGCCTCAAAGACAGTCAGAAAGAAAGAACAGCACATTTTAAAAATTGCAGGGTTGTAATTGTCTTCCAAATTTGCTTTCCCAATTTCAAAATGCAGGCCTCATTGAAGACTGTCACCCTTTCAGAGGGCTGCAGTGTCAGAAGGGCCAGCTGTTAATTGAGAAAACCTGCTGGATGAGATGCAGCTGCTCTGAGTGAGTAATTAGCACTCAGAGAGGGTGAAATTCCAGGTGAGGGAAAGGAGCTGGTGGGAGAGGCTCTGTGTGGAATTGCTCATGCCTCCAGGATAATGAAGAGGCTTATGAAGGCGGCTAGGAGGAGCAGGGCTTCAGGAGGCGTGCAGAGTCTGGAGGGTACTGCTCCCAGAGGTGAGTCTAGATGACACGGTCTCAGAGAAACAAAGAGGATCAGCTGGGAGAGAAGATCTGGGGCTTGGCGAAGAGATGTCATGGTGGATAATGAGTAGGCAGAGGATTAGCACAAATGTGATCCTTGGGTGTCTTGTTAATTGAAGTGAAGATGGAGAACCAGGTGAGCTGGTGTTTTCCAGTGCCTGTGGGTTAGGGCAGCAGTTGTTTTCAGAATCTCGGCTTCTCTTGCTCCTCCCCAATGGCACTGCAAGCCCCCGGGAGGCCACAGGGGGTGCTGTGTTGCTGAGAGACCTCTGGTGTATCAATCCGACTCCCTCAGCCAGGTCCTCAGCCAGCTGCCACTGCTTGGTGATTCCCACTCGCAGTTCGCTAGCGACATGACCCAGGCTCGAACCTGGGGCCAAAGAGCTCAACCTGCATTACTTATGGCCTTGACTGGTGGGGCCAATCGGTGCAGTTCCCTAACCCCTGGCTTTTAGACGGCAGCACAGTGTTGGTTTCCAGCCTGCCTAGTGCGCGCTCAGCTTTTCAGAGCTGTTTTATTTGGGCTGTGGCAGTTTAATTGGCGGCTAAAGTGCTGCAACGGTCTCGGAGGTTCACTAGTCGAATTCATCTCCCAGGTTTCTCCAGCGAGGGGTCGTCTGGACCTCTTCAGCTTTATCTCATGACCTGAGAGGACTGAACCCGCTGTTGTGGAGGCCCCAAAACAAAAACGGTTTGGTGTTGTTTCAGAAAACAGACAACTGTCTAGAACTCGGCAGAATACTCCTCTGTTTTAATCTGTTACAGATGTGTTATTGTTTGAAGGTTGGGGATCTACAGACCACTTTTCTCAGTCCATCACAGAGAGAAGGGTGTGTTAACTTTTCTTATGCTGAAAAGGCCCGATGTATTACTTGATTAACAATCTTCTTGACTGAACATGGATATTAAGCACAGGAAAAGCAGAACGGAGAGGAAGCCCTTGATGTGTAAAAACTCAACCTAGACTGGGCTTGCAGCACAATTCCATTTTCATAATGATCAAGTTAAATGATTACAAAACAAGACACTGGATAATAATCATAAGAATTTATTATGCGTATAAAAGCTTACAAAAAGGCACTGTGTATATAAAAGTAGATATTCTGTACAACAGCTTACCGAGCTGGAAAAAGTTCAAACCCCAGAAGTGACCAGCCTGGCCAGTTTGGTATAAGTGCTTCCTGTCCAGTACAATGCAACACCCAACCAGGCTGAATTACAATACCAACAAGTTCCCCCCCCCCCCCCCTCTGTGGACTCAAATATGTCCCTTTTACTATGTAAAGATTTTCACTTCCTTCAGACGGTCGTCCCGGAAGGGAAATGCTAGACGTTGTGGAACAGGTGAAGAGCAGCCAGCATGCCTTGTTAACGGGCTGCTGAACCCCAGGGGTCCTCTCCCAGAGCAGTTCACGAGCCCCCCGCTTCCCTCTGACCCACCACCCCGACTCCCCTGGGCCTCGAGCTTCATCCCTGTGCCTCCTGACCCGCCAGCGTCGAGCAAGTCATGACAGCTAGGAGGTACGTCTAACACCCATACCAAGGGCAAAAAATAAAACCGTGAGGTAGATAGACTTCAGAGAAATGGCTGCCAGAAACGAAAAGAAACAATTCCAGCCTCAATTTTCCAACATTTTCTAAAGGGCTGAAGTAATGACCCTCGGGTGTCTCCCCCTGCGGCGCAGCTGCCTGCTCTGGTAAGCGTGGGGCTCTTCGGACGCGCGCGGAGACCGGCTCTTCCTGCTGCTCTGCTGGACCGCGCTCCATGATCGCAGACAAGGGGGCCGGCAGACCCGGGCCGGGGGGACGTGTTAGCCCCGCTGTGTGCAGAGGAGGAGCGCAGGAGGCCTCCCCCTCTGTGAGAACGGACTGTGCCGCACTCAGGGCGTGCTGCTAGAAGCGGGGTGCACCCTTGCACTGGTGGTGCTCAGGCACAGAGAGCCCCAAGGGATCAACATGCCTCCCTAAGTACCCCCTCCCCCCCCATAAAGCTGTAGGTTTCCCAAAGCCAGCAGCTCCCAGGGAGTTAAGAGAAGGAGCTGGAGCAGTAGCAATGCTCCAGTAGGACTGCCACATCTGATAACGCCAGTCACAAAACCACTGGAATGCTTCTCAATTAAACAGGCCACAAACTGCCGATTGCTGCCTGTACGCGGGTGTCTTTTAAAAATTAAGCAAATTGGAGTCATCGTTCACCCACAACTGTCTGAACGCGTCATGGGCAGTCTAAACACGACTGTCTCCACGGGCAGGAGGAGGAGGCTCGTGTTTATAAAGATCTTGCTATCCTCCAAATCCAATGACACTTCGGAGTGTCCTGAACCAAAACACTTCCTTCGGAGGCGTCCAGGACGTGAGGAGGATCGTGGGAAGAGGTTTTGCTCACGAGAAAAATGCTGTAGTGCTCAGTTTAATGAAAGCTGTGACGGTGGTCGTGAGGTTTAAAGAAACAGGTTTTTGACATTTTCTCCTCCAGAAGTTCATTTGCAAGTGAGATTAACTGCATGCGAGTTGATTCTACAGCTGGCTGAATCTCCCAGACCCCAGTGTTTCACACACCTTCATCTCCTGGACAGAGGTGGATTGTCTCGGTAACATTTGGGCTCGAACACCTGACCAACACAGGCTGCCTGTACTGCTCTATTTGTTGTCTTTTTAAAGAGCATCACCTTTTCACCAAACCAACACATATGTACACACAATCGTATTTAAAGCATAGTACTGGTCACAGTAACAAAGCAAGGTATTTACAGAGTAGTAGAAAACCCAACAACAAGGCACAAAAAATTCACAGTACATGATGTAAGAAGAATACAAAATTATAGGTTGGCTCTATTTAAGTAAATATTTTAAAACAAATATGACTTTATACAAGCTGTCCACAATAAAAATATCTGGTACTAAAATACTTGGTCTTCTCTGAAGACATCTATACAAGTTTGACACACTTACAATTACTTAGAAGCTTTGAAATAAAATACATTCTAAAAAGAAATGTCAGCAGCAAGCAACATTGTTAAAGAATTAGTTCAAAATTCTGATTTAGATGTCTACAGATTTGCTTTTTCTGACTAAATATATACACTGATTGCTCTGTATGAACCAAATCTGTTCTGCTCTCCCTTCTTCCCTGTTTTTTTATTCCAATCCCTTTTATTTCCAAAAAATACAATCGATTTTGAGAAGGTACATAATAAATAGGACTTACAGCTGTAGGTTTTAATTTTATAGAGGGCTGTGGGATTATATTGCTCATACTGGCTAACGAACGACAAACACGCACAGTACAGCAACACCATGCACACGTGTATCAGTAAAGCCGTGCTCGCACATAAAAGTGGCTATTTTGCTAAAATGAGTGAATTAAAAAAGGAGTTAAATTTCAACAGGTGCTCTGAACTATTTGTTTTTCAGCCGGTCATCAGAATGTTCACGTTCAGAAGCAAAGATGAGAAAAGACCATCTTGTGTGAAACTAATGTGACGCACGCCTCTTTTCGGTTTACCGGACTGCGGTGATGAGGCCTAACTCACCTGGGCTCAGAGCACTGCTGCTGCCCAACTCCCTTCTGCCTTTCTGTGTGGCAGAATGGACAGTGACAGTGTCCTAGGCAACTGGACTGCATCTGTGATGTATCACTGGCTCCTGGGATGCTCAGGTCAGGCAAAGCCACTGAAACCACAAGGGTATTTTGGGCTGTTGCTTATTGCTATACTGGTTATTGTGTGCTGGTGTTGCTGTTTTGAACAGAGAGATCATTCTCGCCGGGGCACCTCTCACATCTCAGCAGCTGTGTTAAACAGGAGAGAAGCATTCAGACCCCCTAACTCCCAGGGGTTCCGGGCTCCTTTCCCTTTTAACCCCACAAGCCCTGCTCAGGTCCGCCTGCTCAGTGCGTGGCCGTTCAGAAGGTCTGGCATTCCTCTCAATCCCTTGCAAGATTAAAGCAGAGGAATCAGTTCTCTGGCATTACACAAAGGGAATTAAACAACATAACAATAACCTCAAAAAGGAAGAGATAGTGGTGTAAGACCCAGGAGAAGCACAATCATTTAACACTCACTAATTATTTCTTCTCCTTTAGTTGTTATCTCAGTTCTAATGCCCCATCCTTCAGAAATGCGCACAAACGATAATTTTCACTCTTTTGTACACAATCCCAGACCAAGAACACATAGGAAAACTAAGAGTATTAAGTAAGTATCTGATATTTTTGGCAAAATAATATGTAGCATTTATATAGGAGCTTTAAGAAATACTGGCTAGATGCCGTCTGTGCAATGCAATTACTTGGAAAACTGAAAAAAAGATGTCGTGCTCAAGGTGTTTTATACTTTCAATGTCAGTTTAACACTAGGGGCCTATTTACAATATGCACAAATACATTCTTTTACAAATAAGCTCTTAGCTTTTCTTGAATCCCTTTCAGGTATATATACTATAACATTTACAAGCTATACAAGACCAATATAAAATAAAAATAAAAGTAAAGTTTTTCTTTAGTTGTAGAAAGCAGCATTTGGAAAAGAAAACGGAACCGGGCTGGCGTTTCTGAAGCACAGCTGTGTTTTCTCTTTGTTTTGGTTCTGTCTTGTTTTCATGAGTCCCACTGTGGGATGATCACTAGTAGTCATTCTGCCGCACGGTCTTGGAATTTCTTCTGGAGAGAACGGAAAGGCCCCCCCCCCACTGCAGCCAGCGGGAGGACAACGGCAGGTGATTTTTTTTTTTTTTTACGTCGAGGGAGAGAAAGAGTTAGAGCGAGAAAGAGAATAAAATCAAACACCCTTCTCTGCCTTCAAAAGCAACCCAAAATAATTCCTTTCGTCCTGGGAAAGCTAAAGTCAACAAACACTCGCCACAGAGCCCTGGCCTCTTCCGGCCTCCCCGCGTGGCTCCGGCCCTTGGGTTAGACTGTACTACTGCTGGAACAGGGGGTGCTTTGTGTGCTGCCGATACTGTGGGCCGCGCTGCTGTTTTCAGAGGCCAGGGGCGACGTGGGGACTTGGTGTCTTCCGGCCGCCTCACCTGGTGAAAGAGGCACAGCAGAACTGTCAAAACAGAGAGGCCTGGAAACGCTGCCAGCGAGTCTCTGCAACATGCCCATCGCGGGCCCCTCATGGCAGAGCCTCAGCTCTGAGCACTGCGCAGGGAGCCCTGCTCTCTCTGTCAGTGGAGCTTTATACTGCAAGCAGGCCTTGCAATTCAGAGATGCCTGTGGTCTACCCCAGAATAAAGAAAAGAGGAAAAGTCTGTATTCTGTGTTTTGTTTCTTGGATGTTAGTGAGTTTTGTGTTCAGGATAAGTTTAATTTAGCAAACACTTCTATTGTGAAAGTCTCTAGGGACTGGGAGTCACAAAGGCTTTCGCAAAGTTAAGACAGATTCTAGCCATCAGATTTTAAGCGTGCTCAACTTGTTCAGCACTTTGAGTGACCTTTAATCCATCTGAACCTGCCGTGGCTGACCTGCGTCAGTGTGATGGATCTGGCAGATCAGTTGTTGGCTGCTGTTATAGAAATATCAAGTCGTTCTACATCCGTCACTGTGACTCACTCCACAGTGCTGAAATACAGCAGGCGGATTTGCCAGGTACTGTCCCAGCTGTCGGCCTCCCCCTGCGCGTGCTTCTTCAGCGGAGCGCCGAAGGCTGGCGCCCGGAGGAGCCACACCACGGTCCGCAGGGGAAGAAATGGGAAACATCGGCGAGAGCAGACAGCTACAGACATCTGAGGAAAGGATCAGAGGAGCAGAGCATCCCTCTTCTTCCAGCCCTCTCCCTCGCTCTCTAGTTTCCAGCGCTTAGTCAAAACCAGCAGCGTAAGCAGCAGGCGGGCTCTGGCCTGCGATGGAGTCCGGCCTGCGGCTGCTGGGTGCTGTACCTTGTACTCATCTCGTGCCTCCCGGCGGCTCCGAGACGGAGCCTCTGGACATTTGTGGACAATCACAAGACGAGTCAGATTCCCGTTCTGGATGGAATGCTCGTCTAGCAGAGAGGGACTGTAGCATTTCGAAGAGTGGTAATTTCTGCTCCACGTCTGGCGTTTGCTGCGGGTGTAAAAATGTGAGATGTGCTCTGTGTCTGCCAGTTGTTTGTTGTGCGGGTCCCTCCCTTCCTGTGGGCTGTGTGGGGACAGTGGCAGTGTGTGGAGTGGCCTTTTATCAGCAGCTAAGAAAAAAAGAGCCCTTTTTCCATCGGAGAGGTGGATCAGCCGAAAGCATCCCCTTTTTCTGGCCCCTCCGCTGAAAGAGAGCTGCCAAGAGCTTTGGCTAAAAACAGAACATATCCTCAATCCCAGCTTGGGAGTGAAGCACAGCCTTTTAGGCACTCACATCTCACACACACACATACAAACAGTCCACGTCTCTGAAAGTCCATCTATAACATAAAGGTTAAAGAACCCGAGGAGGGGTGAAAAGGTCATTCTCTCTCTGCAGTGTTTTGGAAGTCCAGGGTATATTAAAAAAAATTCCGACCATATTCCACATGTATTCCTATTCCGTACATTCAGGCTTGATGGTGACATTTTAAATTCTTGTCCAGAATATACACAACCAGCTGATCTCATGGTACCTCTTCTTGTAATGCACAAGGGACTGCTTATTACAATGTCCCACAGACAGGCAAAACAACCGAGTGGCTGGCTCTGTGTGCTCGCTGGGCCAGGAGGTTTTATTTCTCAGGTTTTCCTTTGCCTAAAGCTAGGACTTGTCCTCATGTGCCAGAGGTCTGTACCCCCTCGTAGGAACTGGGTCTTTTTCTGTGCTTGCATGGTGCACTGATGCCTTCCTGTGGCATGGGCTGACAACACCGCACCCGACCAGACCAGTGGCACAGCCACCAGAACGACCACAGCCTGCAGCTCCAAAACGCGCTTGCCTGACTGTCTGACAGCCCTGTGAGCACCTTGCTTCAGTATGAGATTTACAGATCCACTGCTACTGCTCGTAACGAGTCCTGAAGGAAGAAGATCCACAGTAACCTGTAATGTACCATTGGATATAAGAAACCGATTGTTCCTTTAAAAACAGTACAGTATATCTGGTTACCTATACCGCTCTGTTAGTGTGCAGAAAACAACACTGTAGGAAAAAAACTACACTTCCTGCACGTCTGCGCAGCAAAGTGTCCGAAAATAGAAACCCACCAAAATGTTGAAAATTCATTTCCAGGCGATATGCGTACTGGCACCCTGATATTAACTGGAGCTGCAGGCTGCCGTGGTCAGGCAAAGTGTCTTGTATCATATACTTAGCTGCAGTGGAGGGTCAGTCTGGTTTTTAAGGGATAGAAATTACAACCTGACCCATGTCTAGACGCCATTTAAATAAACAGATGCCGATAAAAAGCAAAACAAGTAAGTTTGAACCCTTGATCTATTAGGAGCTCAGAAGTGCACACAGATTGTAATTATGCAGATGGTGTGAAAGGGAAAGAGAAGGAAAAGGCCGGTTACTGGCAGTATATAGGCAGCCTCCCTTTACAGAGTGACTGGAAGTCACTGACTCCCTTATCTCAGCCAGGGGAAACTGCACAGCTTCACTCATCAGGAAGTCTGACCTTTTTTGTCCACTTCAATATCCTCACAGCAATCTGACTAACACATTTCACTTTTAACATAAAAGTATCAGATCCCAAAACTGCAGTTCCCAAATACCATGCTGGGTTTTCATACTGCAAAACCCCAAATACAGTAGGTCCCATAAAACATTCCACATTTTATTATTAATTTAGAAAAGTGTCTAAAGCAATGTTTTTGTCTCACTTTTGTCTGAGTAGTTTTCCAAAGAACCATAGTGGTCAGTTTTCTCGTTTGATTTGATGACTCAGGCTTTAAAGGTTGCAGTAATTATTACTCTTTGTCTAAATGCCTCAGGATTTAAGAGCTATATTTTAAGGTACTCAGATAAAAATTCTGTCTTAATCATCTGTGATTAGAAATAATCTGTTGGGCAGGTGAAGAGACCAACAGCCGAGAAAGAGTGAGATTTCTGATAATCTCTGAAGCCACACGATTTTATGTTTCAGTGTTCAGCAGTGTGCTTAATTCTTTGTTAATTCCACTTCATTCTTCACTCAAGGTCTGAACTCCTACACTCCTTGGAAAAAAAAATGTCTGTTTACTGGAACTACAAGCAATCAGGACATAAAAAGGTGGAAAAAAGAAAACATTCAAATTAATGCATTTAGATGTCAGTGACAATATAGGAACATCTGTCTAGCCTGAAAGTAAAGAGTGATGAAAATCTTTCTGAAGTGTACTGTAATAGGGCCGCCGGAGAGCCCAGACTGCCCTGATCCGCATGTGGATAAGAGGGAGTGGAGTACCTGTGAAAGGTGTGGAGATCGATCCCTTCATGTCAATATTGGGCCAAGCTATCAGCTAATCAATTGCACATCCTTATTCGAAAGAGGAAAACACTACAATAGGGGGCGACGGCTCGGCTTCTGCAATGCACAGAATGGGAGTGTGATGAGCCTGAAACCTGATTTCCTGAGATCCCCGCCCACAGGAACAAGCTCTGCTGCTGCACTGTGAACCACAGAGCCCAAGAAGCGAGAGGAGGCCATGCGAGGCTGGAAGGGGACCCAGCAGGACAGGAAGTGAATGTGCCGACGGAGCTGGAGCCAGACTGGAGGGGAACAGAGCTGCTGAGGAAGCATACCGCAACACTCATGGAGAGGAATCAGAGGTGACGCAGGGCATGATATCATGAACCTCCATGCCCTGCCACTGTCACTGTGCTGTGGCCCTCTCTTTGTGGCTTACCGGCTCTCTTAAATTATTCAGTAATTAAGTGGCCAAGCTCTCTTCCAAAAAAAAAAAAAACAACCAACAGTGTTATTACCTCCGAAACCTAAAAAGAAATCCATCAAAAACGGATAAACTCAGCACAATGGCTTGCTTTGTGTTAGGACACCAGCGCACTGTTTGAGTATCCAGTCATGCTCTATTGCAGATCTGATGCTGTGAGTTCAAACCTGCATACAGACGGCTGCCAGACAGATGTGGACCCTTTTAATTACTGACACACGGACACACCTGCTCTGCACTGTCCCAACAATGCCCTCACACAGCCCAGCTCCGATCTGAGCTCGTATTTCCTGGACACCCTGTCCACGTGACCAAGCTGCTTTGCTTATGTTTCTGCACCTGACTAAATTGCTGAGTCTTTCTAGGGAAATAAAGTAATAAAAAGGAAGGAAGAAAAAAAGAGTTCTTCTCAGGAGATGCCAGCAAAAACAAAAGGATACAGATACTCTGTGGTCTCCTTGGGCCTGTTGAAGAGCTGCACTTATTTCACCTCTCAGCTGCGCTGCAGGAATGTACAGCCTTTCTACAGCCCTTAATAAACACGCAGCAACAGTGACGCAACTCCAGCCACAACCAGCGATTCGCTTTCTCGGCCTGGAGAGATACCATCTGCTTGAGCGCGCCAAAGAACGCACAGACCCTCTCTCTCCTTCTCAGCACTGAGCCCCGCGGTTTAGGAGAGCGTTTCCCCCCATCTCTGTGGCTCCTGTAAATATGCAGCCACGGAGGTTAAACCATGGTCCAATATGATACCGTCATACAGCAAAACAGCGCAGGAGAAACTGTTCCCCTAGATGCAGGACAGAGAGGCTGGGTGCCAGGCTCAGGCAGCTGTCAGTGAGGGGAGTATCTGCTTCGCAATCTCAGCAGAGCCTTAGGCCAGTGACCTCCTTCCTCCTCCTGCTGCTCCTGGGACCCTATGGCTTCTGCCCTCCAGACACCGAGGAAGGCCTTGGCACCCAGCAGCTGGGATTTATCTCTTCCTGTGCAGGCCGAGACCCCTCGGGGAGCCCTCGTACCGCAGGGAAGCCGCGCAGGGCGGGAGGGACTTTCCAGCCATTGTCAGGCCATTGTATGGAGATTCACCGTCCTTGGGAAAAGGTCCTGATTATTTTTGGAAAGCGCCTGCTTTAATAATTAAAGCAAAAGCCAAACAAACTGGAACAGAGGTGTACACTGTATGAAGTCTTTTAAGGGATCCAGTTTTAGATGTGAGCTCAGGCTGCCGATCTGAAGCGCCCCGCGCCCCGCGCCCCGCGCCCCGCAGACGCCCCCATCAGGTAATCAGGCAGCAGCACACGACACAGCCGGGGAAGAACGCACGTGTGAAAGACTCACCTGTGTGGGAATAAATGAACCACAAGGCTGCCGTCAGCAGAGCTCCAATCACGAAAGCCGCGAAGGCGATTCCAACCACAGTGGGAGTGTCCAGGCCATAGATTACATCTGCAGAACAAAACATTTTCCCACCGTGTCACTGCCTGTGCAATGGCCTTCTGTCTGCTGCTGCAGGGAGAATACAGTACACACAAGTCCACCGAAGTGTGTACTCCTTCTGCAACACCCACGCCAAAGTATTACATAGAATGAAATAACCATATTGAATACATAAATCCTGATATAAAAAGGTTGAGAAGTCAGTTTCACACAGTGAGATGAGAGTAATCGGGGTTCGTGACCGTACTCACACTCAGGAGGGGGCTCGGTTTCTGGCACATCTTTCCTTGTGGGAGGACCTGAAAGCAGAAGAGCACCCTGGTAAACATGTTTCAATTTAAAGCTCTTAACTGTAACTCTGTATTTCTGAAGTCTATTATGTAAAGAACTAGACTACTGACTATCAGCTGTGAAACACCATCCGTGTTTGAAGCATTAATTTGCCCCCCTTTGGCAATGCTCCTCTTTATAAATTGCAGCCTGATGACTGATCAGCTCAACAGGCTGGTATTACAGCTCTCCAGCTTCTTCTCAGAGGGCACTAGGGGGAAAGGGAGTCTGTGGCACTTTGTTTCGTAATTCTACAAGCTGGTCCTGCACCTGTGAAGATGCAGCAATAAAGGACTCTTGGGGTGGGGGTATTCTGAACCAGTGGTACAGAACCCTACCGGGCAGGGCACGGGGTAACCTCCAGTCTCATCCCTGGGCCTCACAATCTGTGCTGTCCTCTGCTTCAGCAAACACAGCCAGCCAGAGAGCTCTCTGCCAAGCCCTGAGGAATGTGTGTGACTGAGATTTTAACACCTCGGATTTTCATTCCTCTCTCACGAAGGAGCTGGGTCTTCACCAGCACATCTAATCTAGCGAGTGCCCCTCACCCTCTTATCTCCTGTCTCTGAGTCACAGGACAGTGTGCTGAGCCTTCAGCAGCCCAGACCGCGGTGCTACACCCCAGGTCAGTGCAAGACTGGAGTCAGAGAACAGGGGGTCGAGAAAGAGTCACAGTGCCAGACAAATGATCCTGGGACTAGTTCTGAAGACATTACAGGATAAACACACACACAAGAATAACAAATAAGGCCCCAGTCACTTTGTGAGCAAAGTTAGACTAATACACGAGCTGAAAGGCTGGAGTAAGAGGTTGTGCTCAGGGGACTTCTGGAGTTAGATGCTGTTCCACCCAGGGCAGAGAGGGGGCGCTGGTGTCCTCCAGGCTGCTGGCAGGTTGCCTCTTGCCCGGGACGCTCGTCTTATCACAGACGCCTGTGTAGCTCAACCCACAGGCCCCTGCTTGTGCGCACAGCCGTCCGCCAAGATTAGTGCACTTCATCTGAGCTCCAAACGCACTGCATTATCTGTTTTCGCTCTGTGGTGGCTTTTTATTCGCCTCTCGGAATCGATGCCTTCTGACTGGAGAAAGCAGGAGAGCCGAGCTGTTTTACAGCGTGTGGGTCGCGGCCAGCGGAGGGGAGGTAGTGGAACCCCAGAATGGCCAGATCAGCGTCTGATAGCCGAGCACTGTCTGACGGAGCTGAACCACCATTCACTCATTACTGTATTACTGCTTCGGCCTCCTGCGCGATCCTGTTCCTCCGCGGCTTCCCTCAGTCCCGTGCAGCCCTTCGCTCACATTTGGCTAGCGGAAGGGGGTTAAGGAGAACGAACGGTTCGGTTTCTGCTTCCTTCTCCACCTGCTCTTTCATACTAAAAAAAGTGAACCTGCCGAACCTTCAGGGTAATAAAACAGAACACACAGCTGGGATCTGAGACTGGGTTGCCTTCAGAAAACCAGCCCACAAACAGGTCTGTCTCTGTACACTGGGCCCTTATGGCCCAGGTGCAGTCCAAGCCTGGGCCATAAGGACATGAAAGCAGGTCTGTTCCCTGTGCCCTTTGAAAAATGACCGACGTCTTTGCGTTACAAACGCTTGCAGAAAGTACTTCTTCGTGTGCCGCTCTCAGGCAGCACTGCACGTGCGATTATTAAGCTGTAACCTTACAGGATGGAGACCTCAGAAGGCTGTGTCCTGACACCCTGACGCACGAGGGATCGAACTGCCTCTCAAAACCACAACTCTCATCATCTTGGTATCAATCGGACAGGTGGTTGGAGGTGTGCGAGCAGATGAAAGTTCTTGCGTTTCACTTCAAAGCACTCAGCGGATGTCGCACTTGCAGAAGTCAAAATCAAAATCCACGCTTCTGACGTGAGTGGGGGCTCGGGGACCCGCCCACCGGCGATGAGCACAACACTGTTTAAGGGAACAAGCTACCCCTGTGCCCCAAACAAATAAGCAGATAATCTCAGCTTTCAACTGCAATTTCAGATTGTTTCCTGCCCATCGTTTTCTCTCAGTACAACACAATAAAGAATAAAGGCCACTTTGTCTTATACCCCAGGAAGTCAATCAGGTGATTTCCCCTGCTCTGCCTCTCTGCACCATATGGTACGCACCGCACACGTGTTAGTGGGGACAGCTCGATCCTGCCCCGCTCATGTCTCCCAAAATGCCAACAGGCTCTGCTCCGTACCCCTGAGGCCCCGCCAGCTCCACCCTGACCTTTTCAGCACTCCGCACTCCCACCCAAGCGCTTGAAGCTCGGTCTGGCTATCACATACCTTCAGGGACAGGGCCGTTGGAGACCACGACCAGCGGCTTGGTGGAGATCTTCTTGTGCATCATCATGGCCAGAATCGTCTCTATGGTGACTGCAGTGCAGGCTTCATCTGGCTGAATACACTGCAGGCGGGGGGAGAGGAAACCGAGGTCAGAAGGTCGTAGGCTCCCGAGGGGTGAGAGGCGAGGGGTGGCCGTCGTGAGGAGCAGGAGGAGCAGGAGGACTCCTCCCCAGTCCCAGTGGCACTGGAGGAAAGCGCCAGTTCAACCTGCACCCTGCTCACAGCCCCAGCTGAAGGAAACTGGATGGGACAGGGCAGCACAGTTCTCCAAACTCTTAAGAACCCATCCTGTGCTCTTCCTGCTGCCAGCCAGGCCCCAGCCCATGTCCTTGTGGCCAGTGAGCACAGACAGCTGCCTTTATGCAGGTTCCCAACTCAGAAATAAACGGGATATATTTAGGAAGCACAGCTCAACCGCTGGGACTCCCGCTCCATTAAAACACAGAGTCATCACAGGCACGGGGCTGTGCGCTCCTGCTGGCTCGTGGCCTGGGGCGCAGGAAGACACCGGTCATCTGAGGATGCTGACCACAGAGCGGCCCTTAACTGGAGCCGGGCCCTTGACTGGCCAGTGTGCGCTGTTAGTGGACAGTGAGCGAAAACAGAGCCGAAACCAGGGCTGCCCCGCGCTGTGGGTTGCAAACGATATCAGAACAGAGGGGCGACTTGGCAGGGGGAGTGTGGAGCTCTTTAAGGAGGTCTTCCTGCAAGCCGTCATCTCCAGACATTCCGGTTCCCCTTTGCGGGAACCTTTGCCGTCGATTCATATATACATGGCTGCTTCCCACAGGATTTATCAAAAGTCAGGACTTGTTCCTGGAAGTGGTCTGCAGCTCCTATCTCCCAGGCCTGCAGGATCTCCTGATAGACTGTTCTAGCTGAACTCTCTCCTGGTAGTCAAGCCAAAATGCTGGTAAGCATGCTGTCTCGTCCTTAAACAGGTGATGGCAAAAGACCTGTGGGACAGCTAGGACTCAGAGCTCAGTGGCTGAAGAAGAGGAGAATCCTGAAGCCCCCCTGACCTTCGCTGCTCTCAGCTCTGGTGAGGCCATGAAACGTCACGCCACCCCTAGCACAGCCAAGCCGCACAGCATTTGTTTGGATGATGCATATACTGTAACATCTTAACCTCTCGAGGCTGGGAATCGAGCTCCATGATACTTCCGAGAACCTGAATCTCATTGCAATGCAAGTTCTGCCTGTTGAAATGGGTTCACATCAGTGAACACAAGACCCTGTGTGTGATGCACAGTCAGCGCGGCTGAGCAGGTGGAAACCCTCCCTGCTAACACACGCAGTTGGCGTGCTTACACTGCAGGGATGTGGGAGTGCATGACAAAGGCAAAAAAGTCTTTGGCATGTTAACTGTTCAGAATAAATCACTGCCATGGGCTTCAGCACAAACTCTTAACCCTAACACTAACCCTGACTCACCCGCAGGGTGCTATGGAAATCCTCAAGACTTGTGTGTCTGAGAGCAGGGCGCTGCACTCCCCTTTACAGGTAGTAAAACCCAAGAGCTCAGAGGGCTAAAGGCAGCTCATTTGATTCCCAGCCTCATGCATTACAGCCCAGAAGCCTCTGTTGACGTAATATGCCCTTAAAGCACACAATTAGTTCATACGCTCCTTTAATACATCTTAATATGAGATAATTCCATGCTGCATGTCAGAAGTGTAATTATGCGAATAACCATACTAATTTTAACACCCACAAACAGTAATGCGCAGTACTTTCCCACACTGGTGCTTACTGTTGCTGTTACTGCTGCCTGTATCATCTCTTAAATTCACCACGTGCTTTGGGCCTCAACAGGTAATTTTAAGTGTAGACTTTTATGCTATATACTGTAAATGAGATTTAAATTTAAATTCCCTTACAGCTGGTAGCTGACCTGTGCGCTTCTATACACACGAGATGTATGCTACCCGGTCAGCTTGCCAATGGATCACACCTGTGCAGGCCGTCACACAGATGTGTCTACAACACCAAATCAAAGAGCCACTGCTGCCCACATGCATGTGCACCTTCTCCGCCATGAACAATGCTTTTCGTCATGAGGACAGTATCACCCATTAGGAATCCCAGATTCTTACAGTATCAAAAGCAGATACTCTACACAGAACATCTTAAAAGCATTGAAAACTACCTTTGCTCAGAAGACAGAGATGCAAGAGTCTGTCCCCGAGTGCTCCACCCATCTGTGGGCTGCGGAGGGCTCACCTTGGGCAGGCCTTGGCTGTCCACCTGCCTCTTTGTGCACAAGGTCATCTCGCAGTGCAGGAAGAGCAGGGAGATGTTGTATCTGGACCTGAACGTGAAGCTGAACCTCTTCCTGTCCGTCTGCGCATGCAGGAGGGGGAAGCCGGGTCTCGGGGGTGAGTAGAACTTCACAGACTCGTCCTTGGGGCAGATGTTCTCGATGATGACGTAATCCGAGGCCACGTTGGGGTTTGAATGCGGCGAAATGAAGCACGTTTGAATCATAAACCCCAGCTCCTGGTCGGCTTTGGTAACTGAAACCTTTAACAGAAAGCACAGGAAGAGAGGGCTTCATACATGCTGCACAGGCCGTGTTTCACAGGAAGTGAGAAGAAGACAGAGCACCCCTTCTATAAGGAGCTGAAGGACCACCGAACTCACTCTCTACCACAAAGTCAGCACAAGGTAACACACTTCCACAAGGAAAATATTATAATATTAAAATATTGTTGTCGGGGTGACATTTAGTCACAAAGTTTTTCCCAGGACAAATGACAATTGCTCGGGGACCGCTGATACGCATGTATCTTTGCAAGGAAGAACCAGTTTCAGTCTGGATTTCTTCAAAGCAGAAGAAAAACACTCGCTGCTGAAGAGCTGACTGATAGCTTGAGGAAATCAAGTTGCACAAGCGCCATCCCGAGACTTGTCCCGGTTCCAAGAATCACAATTCCTCAGTGAGATTTCGGTCACTTCAACAATTTCAAGAGGATCTTTCCGTCAGGACGAACCACAAGGCATTTCCTCGAGTTCCTATCCCCACGGCTCCCCTCCTCCCTCTTCTGAAACCACAATCTACACGCGTGCGCTCACAGCAGCGCTGCCGTGCCTGGACAGCCAGGACGTGCGCTATCCCGGGCTTAAGCTGAAGTCAACAAGCCCCCCTCGTGTGCACACCCAGGCTGGCTGTCTGGGGCGAGGCAGTCCCTACCTCCTGCTCCACCACTCCACATCACACATCCTCACTCCTGATCCACAGCAGCCCCACGGCCCCTCTCGGACGCACAACCGCTCCAGTACGTGAACAAGACCGTGCTGTCCATCCACACACACCGTGTCACAGCACACTCCCGCACCCTGGCTACTTAGAAAAAAGCGCAGACCTCACAAACAGCCGTGAAGCTCTAAGACCTGGGGGGGAGAAGAGGTTTGTGTGTCTTAGATGGCTGCTAGCACAAATCCCCCTTTGTCGTCCACTGGCCGAAATTTCTTGGCAGTGTCATTCTCAGAAGCCCTTATAAATCAAAGGTTCAAAGACGTCTAGTGAATACACTGTTTTATCTCTTTCGCCAGCTCTCTGATGTGATGGTGTACAGTACCTTGGAGTTGCACCGATCACATCTGATTTAATTGGTAACAAGCTGTCTAGCATCCCTTGAAGGGTTAAGGAGAGAAAAATACAATATTAGTTTAACAAACTTGGAAAGCAAAGCCAGACCAAACAGTTGGTGACCCCGTGTGAGAGCTGCTTTTGGACATGAAAGCTTTGCGACTGTGATGTAGACCAGACTAAATGTTTTGATGCTCAGCGAGGCAGGATTTATTCTGTTGGGAAACACAGGACACTTTCATAGCCGTACAGAGACTCGCGTTTAAACAAAAAACAGCTTTCTCTGCAGACTGCACCGGAGCGCCGAGATTTCCACAGTTTACAGTGCAGTGTGAGAGGGGGCCCAGCTAAAGCAACGCTAGTGCCTATGGGCCTCTACACACATCATCTCTACGGCTGAAATGTAGGCAAAATATTTATAGAATTGAAAAACAGCTTTGTGTGGAAAAGCTGAGTAAAGGTTATGAGTATTTGTTTAAACAAAAACAAAACTAAAATGACAGCTGTGAATACTGAACTCTAAAAGTTTGTTTTGTGATGCTGTGTTTACTAATTTACCTGTCCTTAGACACACTTTGTGTCCAACCTATAGAAAAACAGCTGTAATACCTAGTTGTTGTTTTTTTTTAAATCTGTATAATCTGCTCAAACCCTTTTAAGAATATCCGCCAACAGATCAACAGTCAGAGGTCAACAGCCCCTTCATTTTGAGATCGCCTGTCCTCCGCCCAGCTCTGCACCTCCTCTCGCAGGCTGTGGCCCTCGGGGTTGGGAGAGCTGAGCAGCCTGGCTGCCCCCAGATCGGGGGGCACTGGGGGGTTACAGCCCTGGACAGCAAGCTTGGGGCTGGCTCTTACCTCGACGAAGATGTGCTCATTGTCGGAGGCGGTGGGGAAGGCCTGGGGCAGGGGAAAGTGGAAGAGGTCGGTGCTGTAGAACTCCATGTTGAAGGTCGCGTTGTTGACCGGATTCTTGCTGGGCCCGTGCCTGGCCAGCGTGCTGCCTGGAGATTCCTGAGCCTGCCCGTACGTGCAGTTAAACTGCGGAGGAGAAGCAAACAGCACAGCGGGAGGCACATGAGACCAGAGGCAGCTCGTTTGTGCCGTGTGCATTTTGAAGCTGCACTGCAGCTCATCCTGCACAGCTTTCCATCACCACAGGCACCTCAACACAGAGAGGATTAGAGAACGAAAAGCCAGCAAACTCCTGAACTTCGCAACACAAGGAAGGTTCTGAAGGTCAGGAGTTCAAACGAGGGAGGATGGCAGCGCTCCAAACAGCAGTTCACGTGCAGTTCAAGCAGGCTCTTCTTCACACAGTGAGGACTCGGAGACCCTTAGCTTAGGGGACAGGACCCCAATAAACACCTGCTGATGATTACTGGATTCGTGACGGCAGTTTGAAAAGTTTCGCATTAGGCTTATCTCTGAGACTTCCTGCGCTTTCTGTGGAGAGTTTAAATTGAGGGATGTTACTGGATGTTTAAACTACACAGTGCACCTCATTTAGAATATACTTTAGTGAACGGTTCTAGTCACCACTTTACAAAAGAGTTATTGCTGCTTTGCAATCTGGAATCAGTCTATAAAAGCCATGACCTGTGGTTGTTCAGTCTTACACAAAGGGTTGTGAGAGTGTGGAATGAGCTACCCAGCAATGTTGTTGAGGGTGACACTCTTCTTTTTCTTCTAAAAAAAGCCAGATGAGACCCTCTTGTTCATGATATTTTGTATGTTTTACGTAAAGTGGTTATGGAAGAAATAGGGAAGCAACACCATAGATAAAAGCATCCCTTTTTACCCCCCCACACAGTAAATGTTAGAAAAACTGGTAAATGTTCAGCCAGTCTCTCCACTTTGTGAGGGAAAAGGCACAGAACCCTGTCTGTTAGGCTGTGATCAGACGTGAACACGTGTCATGAAACAACTAGCCTTTCAGATGTGGCCTTATAAAGGTCAACACTCTTCGCAGGGAGCTGATGTGTTTTAAAGCATATTTGAGGTGTGCATATTTAAAGTCCCAGGTGAGGGGCTGCCGGGGTAGCTCCTCGTTGCTCTTTGCAAAGGCCAGGTCAGGATTTGCTGCCGTTTGTGTGCCGATCTGCTGATAAAAGCCACTTTCTCCCAGCCTGCTCTGCTCCAGTGAAGGGAAGAGGTGAAGACTTGCCAAGACAGAGACGGGTCCGTGTGCCTCTGGTTCAGAACCAGTCCTTTCTGGGCCCTCAGCATCGGAGGCAAAGCCATTATCGCCAGACTCCATGTCCTCATAATCAAAAGGCCAGCCACTTCCATCTCCTGGCTCTGACTGGTTGATCCAGATCTGCAACAACAACAACAGAAAAACTCCTCAATCTCCTCCAAAAACAGCCACAATCGAACTAACATCACAGAACTGAAAAAAAAAACATGCTTCCCAAGCTTTTTCGCAACAGCCTGACTCCAGGCTTGTTTCAAAACACCGGGGCGTAAATGTGATCAGATAAGGCCGTTTTTTGCTGGGCTGACGCTGAGCAAAACAAGCAGAATTTGCGTCCGAACGTCCAAACACTGCAGAGGACCTATGACAAAACCGCCAAAACATTGGGAAAACAGATGAGCTGGAATTTAAACATGGGAACATCTTGTGATTTCAACACAGGGTCCCTTGGCGATTCTCTGAGGCACACTTTCCTTTCTATTTTCTCACCACGACTAACAGATAAATAAGCAAAACTTGAAACAGGGCTACAGTATCACTGTTCAAGCAACAAGGACTGTACAAGGATCCTTGCAGTCTGAGAGGAGGCAAATGTGCATGGCTTAGTTAGACTACAGGGTTAACGTGGCAGCAGGTCTGTTCCAGCAGTGTGTACACTCAAGAGACGTGCCTAAGGGCAGGTCATTCGGAGTCGCTGCTACAGCATTCTCGCTAACGATAATCATGAGGGGTAGAATAGCAGGCAGGCCTGATTGTAGCAACTGCTGAAAGGATCTGGAGTTCCTGCTGACATTTATGACGTCCGTACGGTAACGAGGACCGAGGGGCTCGGCTTTCAGCTGAACCGCTAAGGGTCTGTTTGAAAAACTACACCGGTCAGCTCCTTGTCCCGGTGAACTGGGCGACTGCAGACCGTGAATCTCTCTGCTGACACGGAGCACCGTAAGGACGGGAGCTTCCGGAAGTCACTCTGCTGCCATCGTCTGCCTCAGTCTGTGCCTCCACCCGCAAAATCAGAGCTGCTGCCCCGCGTTGCCAAGCCAGCAACAGGCCCCTCTGCCCAGGTTCTGCCCTACTCACAGAGTTCAGGTAAATAGCCACTGGGCTGCCAGGGAGCTGGAAGACCGTGGTGTTGCAGCCGGTCAGCGGCGTCTCCAGGGTGTAGTGTGTGGCGTTGGCTGTCGCTTTGCACGAAGGGTCCTGCAGAGTGATGCCATCTCCTCTGAAGCCATTCGCCTGCGAGGGGACGCTCAGAGGTAAGTCGGGTTAGAGTCTAGGAGGAGCTGCACACTGCACAAGCCGTCTCTTGCAGAAATGCAAAGTCCCCAATTATCTACATCAGAACACGTCTGGCTAGCAAAAAGCACGTTTCTAGGAAGACAAAATAGCTAGGGAAAAAATGGCTTATCATTTCATTTTCAGGGAGCATGTGCACAGCACTGAGGTGGCAATGAGGAGCACACACCTAAGTGTGTCATTTCTGTCATAAAACATCTTCCACCGCGCTGCAATTCTGAGGTGTCGGCTGGAGAATGTGGAAATAAATGGCGTGCTGGGCAAACAGGACAGAGGGCATGTGTGCTTTAACTATTCCCCAGTCAGAACGGTGGTGATCCAAGTTGATCTGGGTGTAGGGTCTAGGCCAGGTTGGGGCTATTTTTATCACTCAATTCAATCACTCAGACTGCTTCAGGAAATGGTAATGCAAAGTGGATGTCTAGTTCAGGGATTGTGCTCTCTTGGATACTCCATCACCTCATGGCTCCTCATGATAGCTCACCAAACGCTGTCTGCAGCAGCTCAGGTGTGCGATCAGGAAACAGCTTCCCACTCCCCTCCAATGGCCACTCAGAGCACGTGATCGCTTCTGTTTCGTATTGAAATACAAGTCCTTTTGTGCTTAAAACATCTGACAGCTCGTTTCTCCCTCTTCAAACGGCACAGTATCTTTTTTGACAACCAGCCTTTAATTTTGTCATAAATACAGCAAGTTTTTACCCAGCAAGGGATAATGAAACTCACATTAAACACAGGCATTTAAAATGATTTCAGCTCACTTTGTTGTTAAAGATCCCGAATTCCATCTGGGCTTTTGGCTCTTTTTATGGCCAGTTACAACCCCTGCTGCGTAGTCGCTCTTCATCATTACTAAACAGTCGGACAGTCATCTTTGGTTTAGATGAGAACATTTTGTACTAAAACATTAAGGAACTTTTAAAAGCCGACCGCTGAGCATTAACGTTCATGGAAACACAAAAAAAAGTCAGAAGAGAAGATCAAGGCTGTTGACTTTATGTAAGACAGATAAACACTGCAGACGCCATGGAAGTACAATACAGTACATGTTCTCGCAGGGATGTCGGCTATGACCGGACCCAGCCCAGAACTCCCATGCAGAAGGATGGCACTGAGCAGCTGAGCAAAGCGGGCCAGTACCAACCTGCAGGCTCTCTTTGTCCACGGAAACCACGATCCGGTGCTCCTCGCAGCGCACGGACAGCCCCATGCTCACGGAGCCCTGCTGCTCCTCCGGCTCCGCGGGGGGCCACTCGGCCGCTGGGAACGGGAAGAGGGGCAGCCTGCCCGGCTCCGGCCGGCCGCCTCCCCCGCGGCCGAAGAGGAAGGGCAGCTCGAGGGGCCCTGAGCTCGCTGGGCCGACCGGGGGCTTCAGGTTGCGCAGACGCTCCAGCTCCGGGGGGAACATGCTGAGGGGCTCCTCCACCACCACACCTGGAAGAAAAACCTGAACTCAGCACCCCGGCCAGGCAGGTACAGAGCAACAGCCCTACAGGTACAGAGCAACAGCACTGCGGCCCTGCAGGTACGGAGCAACAGCACTGCAGCCCTGCAGGTACGGAGCAACAGCACTGCGGCCCTGCAGGTACAGA